CCGCAATCCTGGGGCTTGAAACTTTTGCCTCTCGAGCGACGGCCCTTCTCTTTCTCCTGCGTTTACCCCAAGTGCTTTTGCCGTTATCTCCCGCCTGACCTCCTGCCTTTTGGGACCTGCATTTTTCTGGACTGGTTCTCACTCTTTCCACCCACCCCTTGCCAACTTTCCATTAGGACAGCAGTGCAGGCCAGCCTCCCGCTCTCGTTCTCCTCCCTCCCTCTCCTCCTTTTCGCCTCCCATGGCAGGATGAGAACATGCTTCTGCTGCTTCTTCATTTTTAAGGGCTGGGGTGGAGTGGGGAAGCAGGAAAGAAAAGAAAAAAGAAAGAAGGGCAGCCCAATGACCTTCCCGGGAGAAGAGGGCCCTCAACATCTTGGAAGGATCAGGCCAGCTGGATGTTCTTCTGATGGAGAGAGGGAGAAGCGGGAGGGACCGAAGGCAGTGGAAACAGGGGAGGACCAGAGAAAGAGACAGAGTGCACGAAGCAGCAAGGTTTCTGTTGCGCTCCAATCCTAACAGAACTTGCCAGTTTTAAAACATTGCACAGAAATTATGTTTGGGGGGTTGGTGGTGGGGAAGCTACACAGTAATACTGTCTCTGAGCAGAGCGTGGAAAAGTGCATCGATTCGTTGATTGATTTTTGGATCACAATGCCCAGAATCCCTGAGCTGCTGTTTCGGCACGAGGATGTTGACTTCAGAAAAAAGCCGCAAACTCTGCAGCAGATAAAGGCAGGCAAATGTATCTGTATTTGGAGGGCCACCTAGTCCAGCCACTGAAAGGGGGGGGCGGGTATGCCAGCCAAAATGCCAGATCAAGGGGGGGGGCTGGAACCAGCAGGACAGCGAGAGAATTCCTTAATTGTCCGAAGCATCAGATGGCCACAGTAGGAGATTTTTTCTCACCCAAGGGATTTGGACATTAACTGGCCTTGCATTAGGATTTCTTTTTGGGAATGAAACGTGGGCTCCGTTGGTGAATTTTAGTTCTTGAGACATTAAAGCCTGCCTAAATCACTCCTCTGGAGCACTCCCACGATTTTCTAACGAAGAGTGATCCGTCATCCTGTTTGGCCCATGAAAGAAAGGTTCTCATCCTCAGGCATGCTGGCTGCTCCATCCTGGGGACCGTAAATTAACTTATCCAAATTCAGAAAATGCCATAACAGAAAGGCACAGTGGCAAACAGAATTCGAGAAAGAATGAATTGAAAGGGGCCTCTAAAGCCATTGAGTCTCATATGAACGTAAGAGCATAAGCATAGGAGCCCTGCTGGATCAGGCCAAGGGCCCATCCAGCCCAGCTCCCTGGATCTCACAATGGTCTGCCTCTAGGGAGCACAGGAGACCACGAGATCCTGGTCTCCTGATTCCCCTCTTCCCCTGCATCTGGCCTTTGGAGGCCCCTTCCTTCAAAGCCTGGAGCTTGTCACCCGTGATGGGACTTTTCCTCCAGGAATCGGTCCCATCCCCTTTTCGAGGCCTCTAGAATGCCAGATGCCAACCCCACATCCAGTGGCAAGGAGTTCCACAGACTAACCATACGCTAGGCTAAGAAATATTTTCTTTGGTCTGTTCTTCCTCTCCCAACGCTCCATTGGGGTGGATGTCCCCTGTTTCTAGTATTTCAATTGGAGTGGATGTCCCCTGGTTCTGATATTAGGCATCTGGTGGGACCACTTGTGAGATCCAAGAAGCTGGACTAGAGGGGCCCTTGGCCTGATCCAGCCCAGGGCTCTTCCGATGTTCTTAGGAGTCCAAACCCCCCCTCCCTGCTCAAGGCAGGAATTAGCCTGATCCAGCCCAGGGCTCTTCTGATGTTCTTAGGAGTCCAACCCCCCGCCCTCCCTGCTCAAGGCAGGAATTCAAGTCAAAGGAGGTCTGCCAGGCGGTTGTCCACTTTTCTCTCTCAAATGCTGCTTGGACAGGATCAGCAGCTTGGACCCGGGCATGGGGACCTGACTCAGCCCAGCTGGCGGAGTTTCTGTCTCCGTTCTGACAAGACAAATGCCTGCGGAGTGGCCCGGGTTGAGTCTCTCCTTCCCTGCTCGCCTCCTTAAACCATCTGCGCTGCTGCTCCCACCAGCGATGGAAACTTCTGACCTGACCCTGGGAAAAAGAGCATCTCAGAGAGCTGAAATCGGCCCTGGCTAGGGGGGTGGGCGGAGGGGCTCGCGTTTTGATTCAGCCCCGGTTCCTCTCCCTGGAAGAAGGCCTTCCAGAGGTGGCAGCAGCTGCACAACTGGATTGGGGAGGAAAGAGTGCGAGAGAGACGCAGGGTGTGTCCAGGTCAGACCTCCTTTATTTACAAATGTACACAAGCCGGGCCTTTTGCAAACAAGGGCAGGCGTCCTTCTGCTGCGGATGCTTTTTACAAAAAAGGGCAGCAGCTGCCAGAGAAGAAGAACAGCAACAACACAGGGGCCCAGCCGAGAGCTTTCCGCTTGCTTCAAGTTGACCTCCGGGTCTTCTCTCTGCCCTCGGCTCTTCCTCCTCCTCCTCCTCCTGAAGTCTCTCCCCCTTCCCCTTTACTCCACTGGAGACTTGTCATCTTTCCAAATTCTTGCAGCCCTCTCTTTCTAAAACACTCAAGAAAGACCTCCGGGTTATGGGAGGCTCCCCTCTTCCCAAAGGCAAAGTAGCACAAGGGGCGAAGGAGCCTATGGTCCGAATGCCCTCGCCAGTCCCTTGGTCTCATGAAGCAGGGCCAAAGCCAGTTTAGGTGCCATTTGAGGTTATGGGAGGCTCCCCTCTTCCCAAAGGCGAAATAGCACAAGGGGCAAAGGAGCCTTTGGTCCGAATGTCCGAGCCAGTCCCTCCGTCTCATGAAGACAGTCTAGGTGCCGTTTGCGAGGTTAAAAAACTCAATTTGGGGGTTGGGGGAAGGGAAGCCAGAGTTATTTCGGGAAGGGAGAAGCGATCATCACAGAGCTCTGATCATTGCAGGTACGTCATTCAGCCCGAAGACCACTAGAGAAGATCCCCATCGACTTACGGGTTTGCGTAAAGCTGCTTGGAGCAGAGCTCGGCAAAGTTCTTTTACTGGGCTACTGCTTCCAGAATCACCTGGTCGCTATATATGCATAATAGGCATCGTAGAGGAGGCAGGGTGTGAAGATCAGAATAAGGCTGCTCTTGCTGTGACATGTCCACCCGTTTGCCTCCGCGGCAGGGCGACCCTATGGATGAGCACTCTCCAAAATGTCCAGTCCTCAACGGTCCTGCTCAGATCTTGCAGTCTTATGCTTGTGGCTTCCTTTAGGGAGTCAATGCCTCTCACATTGGGTCTTCCTCTTTTCCTGCTGCCTTCCACCTTTCCCAGCCTTATCTAGTCTTTTCCAGAGAATCCTGTCTTCTTAGGAGGTGCCCAAAGTAGGACAGCCTCTGTTTCAACCTTCTCACCTCCAGAGAGAGTTCAGGATTGACTTGCTCTGGGACCCACTGGTTCCATCTTTCTGGCGGTCCAGGTTACCCGTAAAGCTCTCCTCCAACATCACATTTCAAACAAGTCAATTAGATGGGAGGGGAATAAAAATTGAATGAATAAATGAATAAATAACCTCATCTTCAACATTTCAGCCTTCAGAAAAAGTTCAGGCTTGATTTCCTGGGACCCACTGGTTCCATCTTTCTGGCAGTCCAGGTTACCTGCAAAGCTCTCTTCCAGCATCACTTGTCAAACAAGTCAATCCCCCCCCTCGTCCCCTTTCTTTCCTGTCCAGCTCTCACACCCATACACATTAACTGGACATACAAGAGCCTGGATGATCTTGGTCTCCAGTGACACCTCCTTCCACTTGATAGTCTTTTTTAATTCCTTTACTGATACCATTCCGAGTCTTCTCAGCCGTCTTTTGATTTCTTGGCTGCATTCTCCCTTTGGATTGACTGGTGAACCAAGGTCCACAAAATCTCTAACTAGCTCAATTTCTTCATGGTCAATATTAACGTTGTGTAGTTTTTCCATAGTCGTTTCTGTCTTCTCAGCATTCAACTGCACTTCTGCTTTGGCACCTTCTTCTTTAATTTTCATTCAAAGACATTTCAAGGCATTGCTCATTTCTGCAGTTAAGATGGTACCATCTGCATAACTTACATTGTTGATGTTTCTTCCATCAATTTCCACTCCTCCTTCATCTGAATCCAGTCTGGCTTTCCAAATGACCTGTTCTGTGTATGGACTGAACATATAAGGGGATAAAATGCACCCTTGTCCTTAACACCATGGCCTACAGGAAACCAACCATTCAGTCTCTCCATATTCTGTCCTATCGGTGGTTTCTTGTCCAAAATATTGGCTATGGCATCAGGACAATCAAGTGTGGAGGCATACCTTTTTCTCTCAGAACAACCCATAATTTCTCATGATCCTCACAGTCAAAGCCTTCGCTGTAGTCAATAAAGCATAGACTGATAATCTTCTGAAATTTTTGGTGCGCTCAAGTAGTCAGCAGATATTTGTAATATGATCTCGAGTGCCTCTTCCTTTTCGGAATCCAGCTTGAACAGCAGGCATTTCTCACTCCATATAAGATAAACATCTTTGTTGCAACATCTTGAATCACTTTGTTTGCATAGCAAATTAGAGCAATGGTCCTGTAGTCACTGCACTTCATGGTATCTCCTTTTTTGGAGACTGGAATGTTTATTGAATGTTGCCAGAATGTGGGCCATTGTTTTGTTTTCCATTGTCAGAATTTTGACAGATTCAGTCTGTGTGACTTGAAATAGTTCTGTTGTTGCTCTACCTACCCAAGGTGATTTGTTTCTTCCTAGTGCTTTCAGAGCAGCTTTCACTTCACTTTCTGGAACTGCACTTTCTATGTCATAAGATTCCTATAATTCCACTCTCTCTTTTGTACAGGCCTTCAATGTACTGTTTCTACCTTCCTTATTTTCTGCTGCTCTGACAGTGTACTTCCCTGTTTTGTCTTTCAGCATTCCTAATCTAGGCTTAAATTTCTCTTTGATTTCTTGAATCTTCTGGAAGTGATCTCTTGCTTTCCCCCTTTCACTGTTCTCTTTCTTTGCACTGACTATTGTAATAGTTCTCTCTTTCTCTGTGTGTGACAATCACTGAAGAACTGCATTCAGGGTTCCGACCCTCTTTCTGTCACTTTTTACTTTTGCTTCTTATCTCTCCTGTATAATTCCAAGTGTTTCTTCCATTATCCATCCACATTTTTCTTTTTGCATTCTGGTCTTTTTGCATTCTTCCCTAATAATATCTCTGTTTCAACCCAGACGTCTTCTGGTTCACGGTTAATTTAGTTTAATAATGTAAATCTGTTCCTTATCTGAACTTTAAATTAATCAGGAATGTTGTTTAAATTATATTTTGGCATTGCAATTCTTTTATGGTTCTTTTTACAGCTTTAATGTTGGAACTCCCAACAGTTCACGATCAGTACCACAATCCACTCCTGGTCTTGTTTTAGCAGAGAGAATACAGCTTCTCCATCTCCTGCTTCCTATTAGAGAGTTTATTTGGTTTCTATGTTGGCCATCTGGTGAGGTCCACATCTACAGCCCTCCGTTCCCCTGTCTGAAGCCTATATTTGCAATAAACAGATTTGAAACTGTACAGCCACGAAAAACAGTATTTTTTCTGACTGTGATGTATTCTTTTTCAACTGAAGAAAGCTGCTCATTGCACGTATGTGAAGAATGCAAACCGTCCTGCTTCAGAGAATGAAATATTCAACACCAGCAGAGAATGAGAAATGAGAGCATAAACCCATATCAGCAGTCTGTAAAATGGACTTTGCACAAGATCTTGGACCAGGGGAAAATCCAATAGCTGGAGGCAGGAAGATGTGGAGAATTCTAACTCTCCCACACACCACTTATTTCCTGGTTCCTTTACTTTTAACAACAGCAGAGCAGGCAGAAGCTCAACAGAGGCAGCCGCCATCCCATGTCTAATGCTGGAGAAGCGCTTGACCTGCTGAATTTCAGCCTGTCCTGCCACTCTAATGGAAGTCTTTCAGAAGCATGCAAGGTCTTCCACCCCATCGGATCATTCCCCAGGGTCAGCCCTTGAGCAGCATGCTTCCAAGAAGGTCATGTTTCCCAGTGTCCAAGGGTCAGAAATGAAGGACTGCGCCTCTTCCCGGTCCTTAGATCCATAAATAAAAACCACATCCCCTAACCTTTCCCCCTCCTATCTGTCAGCAGGCAGATCCGAAGATGACTGCAGACAAATGTACTTATCCATCCTCCCACCTCCTGATGAAGACCCCAACACCTGGAATTCCCCCAGTGAGAAGGAAAAAATGGCCACGGCGGACGGAGAAGTTCTCGGGGTTACGGTGCATAAAAAGGAAGGTTTTCCAAAACTCTGCAGCTCCTTCGAACGATCTGCGCTCTGGAAGGCATTCCGTTTCTCCTCTGGACAAGGGTGTCCACACTTCAGGTTGTGATTGAAGAAGAACACGGCAATACTTTGCGCCGGTCGTAAGAGAGCAGCCGCTTTATGGAAAACGTTACAGCCTTGGCAGCTGGTTGGAAATGCCGTGCCCATCCGGGAGCTCCCCGGTGACCCTAATACAACAGGCGGCTCCCTCTCTCCCTCCAGACCGCCTTTAGGGTGAAGAGAAATCCAGCCCAGGCCGTGTGGATCCAGGGTGGTGCTGCCAAGCAGAGGCTTTTGAATGGGTCACCCTTCAAACCTGCCACCAGCTGCAGGTCTGAGCATGAGACACGCCACGGCAGACCCCAGAATAAATTCTGCAGAGCCAAGATGACAGCCCTGAGCATCTTCGGGGCCAAGAGAATCTTGTAGGAGGGCTTTGGCCCCCAGTGACCTATGTCCGTTCAGTCCAAGGGAGAAACCTGCCGTCCCTCGCCAGCTTTGCAAAGGGATTGTGGTTCAATGCGCCCACTTCCAAAGTCCCCCTGCCCAAGGATGCCAGGATGTTTTTCCAGCTCGAGGGGGTTGGTGGTGTTCCCCTTCCCTCCCGGCCGTTCCTCTCGGCCACCTAGAATTCCTTGCTTTCTCCGCTGGATATGCCCCGTTGGACGAGAGATGCTAGCAAAGAAGTGCATTTGCAAACCCCCCCAACGTGCAGGTGGGGGCAGAGGACTGAGGCGGTGCCCCTCGGGATCCCGGGCGGGAACAACCAGCGGGCAAGGAGGGGGCGCCCAGTGGTTTCAGAGCACAGAGAGGTCGTGGCAGGATTTGGAGCGGACCTTGAGGGCCGCCTTCTTGTTGTTCCGGGCCACCAGCCGGTCGAGGAACCGGCGCACTTTCTTGCTGAGGCTCTCCTTGCGCCGGTAGAGCGAGAGGCGCCTCTGGTTGGCCTCTTTGCTGTCTCTGCGCAAGCGGATCTGCCGCACCACCCCCTCGAAGAGCTCCGTCACGTTGTGCTGGAGGGTGGCCGACGTCTCGATGAACTTGCAGTCAAAGACCACGGCGCAGGCCCGGCCCTCTGCCGAGAGAAAAAGCACACACACACACACACAACATAACATGTGTTGCTGAGAGAGAGAGATGCTGAACAGTGACCAGAAAGCAGCACAACCCAAAGCGCACCCCGATCGCCGGAGCAAATCCTGCAACCGGACGACCAACCCAGCGGCCGATCGGTCAATGAGGCGAAAGTGCCTCTTTCGGCTTCTTCGTGGACCTTTAGAAATCCCTGCTCGCCCACCGAGTGATCCGGAATCAAACCCACCCATGCGCCGTTGCGTGGAGCTAAGCCATGCAAACACATGTTGGAAAAGTAGCATGATGGCGTCCCAGCTCATGGAACCGGAGCCCTGTGGCCTTCGGCTTCGCCGTGACCCCTGCTGCCACGCTCTTTCGGGATTCCCTCTTCCCATTACAATCTTTTTTAAGTATCTTGGCAGGTGGAGGATGGCTTTTCAGAATAAGGATACTGTGAATTATACCCTGCTTTCCTGGATCAGTCATTTGGCGTGGTTTGGTTTTCAATGGGCCATTAAGGTCCATTAGCTTTACATGACGCCTCCCCCCGCCCCACAGATGGAAACCACTCGAACCAGGGTGTTTATGTAGAGCAATGCAAGCGTCAGGGTTGGGCAGTGATGAAGGCTGTCCTCATAAGCATTTGCATTACAAAATCCACCACCGCAGAATGACTTTAAGAAGGGAAACACTTATCTACTTTCTTCCGCTTCCATCTCATTCTACAATTAGAACGATAGGAACTTCTGTGGCTTTTAAGATCTTCAAGGAAAGAGTTTCTCGTCTCACCAGATTCACAGGCATGTTTGGTGAGGATGTAAGACGGGGCCTTTTTGGTAACTGCTCCCAGATTAGGGAACACCCTTCAACATGAAGCTAGGTTTTCACCCCTCTCTCTCTGCCGGCAAAGACCATCCTTTTGAAACTGGTTTTGAAGACTGACTGGCAAGAGAATGGGGTTTTATACTGCATCAGTATTTTAAAAGTAGAAAACTTTTCAGTATTATGTCAAGATGAGAAGGCGTGGGAAAAAACCTGAAAAAATTAGAGGGGAAAACAGTGGTGTTTTTTTTTCCAAAGCTGTCTTATGTTGGATTCAAAATTTCCAGAAATTTTACATCTCTAGTATTATAGTATATTCTGTTTTTATACCGTAACTTACTGTATTTTTACTGGTACTTTATTAGTATCATAATCTAGCAAGGTGAAAACTTGATTTGTATTTTTATAAACAGCCACCACCACCATCTTAGACGTGAAGAGCTGGAAGGGACCCCAGAGGTCATCCAGTCCAGCCCGTCAACAGGAATTATGGGAAGAAGTAGCCGCTCTGGCCTGCCCCGGGGGGGGGGGAATCACTCAGAAAATTTCCACCTACCTTCCACGGAAACCTCCCGGCAGCGCACCAGGTCGGTCTTGTTCCCCACCAGGATGATGGGGATGTTCTCCGCCTGGCGAGTTCGGCGCAGCTGGATCCGCAGCTCCGACGCGCTCTCAAAGCTTCCCCGGTCGGTGATGGAGTAGACAATGACATAGGCGTTGCCCACCTGCATGCAGTAATTGTGGAGCCAGTTGTCTTCCTCGGAAGGCTGCAGGGAAGCAGGGAAGAGGAGCTGACCAAAGGCACCCAAAGGCCAGCGGGCTTGAGCGGGATTCGCACACACAACAAGCCGGGGAAGAAGAAATGCCATAGACTGGCACGGTCCCAAGGTCTCCAGAGACCCAAGTCCCCAATCAACAGAGGCACCCAACTTGAGTCAGAGAAAGAGCAAGACCCCCCCCGCCTGTACTGCCAATGATAAAGAAGTGGGAGTTGTAGTTCAAAACATCTGGGGTGCCAAAGGTTCAGAGCAATGCCAGAACATTAGATTTCAGCCAAACTGACAACCCCCGTTGACCATGATTCTCTGTGGACATGAACAGCTGATAGCTCTACAGAGTCTACACCAGACCTTCTTGGACTACAACTCCCAACCTACCTTCAGCTGTGCTGGCCAGGGTTTCTGAGAGTTGTAGTCCAAGAATATCAAGGTATGCCCTCCCTCTCAGATTTTCTTGGACCTCTGCTCCCATCATTCCTTCTCCTGGGCTTCACTGGCTGGAGATGATGGGAACTAGAACCCAGCAACTTCTGGAAGGCTACCTGGCCCCCTGGAAGGCTACCTGGCACACTCTGCTCTAGACTTTTAACAGCCTCTGCGTTTTGCTCTGGAACTCAAAGTGGGGAAATAAAACAGCTCATTTCTAGAGGGTGAGTGAAGACTGCAGAGGCGTCCCGCGCAGTAGACTTTTTACGTCTGGTGGAAACGGACTCTTAACACATTAAAGCCAATGCCAGAATTGCAGAAGAAACCTGTGATGTTTGTCTTGCAGCAGAAAAGCCAAACCCTCCCGCTCACCCACCACCCCTGACTCTTTGGAAGCACCAAGCCTTCCTCCTGGAGAATTAGCTTTTCCCCAAAAGTCATATTTTTTGGATGATCAAATATGCACGTGCCGGCTCTAGGATGCTGGGCCCCCAAATCCCATAGAGTCAATTTCTGCCTTTCGGGCTTCCCTGCTTTTGTTGCCCACACATTTCCCATCGGCGAATTCCGCCAGTCTGGTCCCCCCCCTCAAGTCCAGGTGACGACCACAGGAAACAAGAGACACCCGGTCACGTCTTAAGTTTTGCATAGCGCCTTGCTCCCCATTTATACAACATCGACATGGAGGTGTGAGCATCAGCTTTGCTTCACACAAAGATCAATGAAAAAGGCAACCCTTAGCAGCACCGCCTTGCACCAACTTCATGGCCCTGGATCTGGAAAAGGAGTTTTAAGGGGGGCCCTTCGGCACTCATCTCCAGCTTTCAGAGCAACAGGGTCGTCTCCGTTGTACTCCATCTCATCGACCTTGTGGCTGGAAGTGCCACCGCCTTTCCACGCCGCTGAACAGACCATCTGCGGATTAAAAGCAACTGCCTCCAGGCTGCATTTGACACAAGTCTCCGAGTGAATCTGTCGGCAGCAAATAAGCCCCCGCGGAGCTCTCTCCGTACGGCCTCTGCCTGTTCGATGTGGGGGCAGAGCAAAGCGTCTGAGCCCACTAAAGCCAAGAAGCCGCCCCACATTAGGGAGACCCATCAGGGCGGGAAATGAAAGAGCAGGGAGATACCATCTGGAAATCTTCAGCTCAGCTCACATACGTCCCGAGGTTTAACTCTGAGTCAAGGATAAATCTATTTGGAATTCTGAGGACTTAATCCATGAAATCTTGACCACAGACTCATTCAAGGGCATCTCTGAGCATGTATAGAGCGCACTCCCTCTTGCCATCATACACATCCTATATATCGGCTGTAAACAGAAAGGGCTTCGGAAGATTGGGTTATAACACTTCCCCTATTTGGAAATTAATCCTTCTTCAGCATCCATGAAGAATGTGGAGCACAAACTCGTGTCAGGCAGGAGATACACGTTTTTATTTTTTTATTTTTTGGCAAAAGGATCTATTGAGAGAACCTACTATGTGTAGTTTGTATATCCTATCATTTTCAATTCTAAGCACATTCTTTGAAAATAAATAGCTATGTAAATAAAAAGGAAATAAAATCCAAACAATCATAAATCTTCAGAGGAATGCAAGTCCGAAGCTCACATCGTAAAACATGCAGCTCAAACCGACGCACATTTACTCAAATGTAAGTCTTACGGCAGAGATTTGAGAAGTGGCTTTTTTAAAATTTCTTTAGCCTTACTTTCTGTAAAAACAGGAAGTGGCTGTGGTGCATCCTAGGAATTGTACTTCTTTGGGAGGCATCTCCTATAGAACCTAAAGAGCACTGAAACTACTGCTCACAGGATGCACTGTGGCCGATTCATTTTTTAACAGGAAGCAAGGCCAAAGAAAGCCTTGGAGCTGGGCCTTTTCCCAGTTGAGTGAAATATTGATGTCAGCAGATGTGGGTCTGTGGGCTGGAAATTCCAGAATTCTGCGAGTTGGGAAGTTAGAAGTCGGAAGGAAGGACAGGGAGAAAACAAGGAAGGAAGGAAGGAAGGAAGGAAGGAAGGAAGGAAGGAAGGAAGGAAGGAAGGAAGGAAGGAAGGAAGGAAGGAAGGCACATTGCTAATATCAGACTCATTTTTACTTTTGTACACGGGGCTGCTTAGAAACTCTGCTCACACACCTGTGTAGGAAAAGAAGGGAGAAGATATTTACACACATCTGTTCTGAATATTGGTATATCTGGGCTCGGGTGTTTTGACAGAGCTGGACCACCGCAGAGGCCACGTTCCATGCTCTTGGTGGATCATTTCATACCCGGGCAAGAGGAGTGCTTGGTATTGCTATTTTGAGGAAAGAGATAATTTTAAAAACACAGCTCCCAAAGTCCTCCAGGCAACATAGCCATTGACAAATCGCCTAAGAAATTCTGGGAGACACACTGTCTGGAAGGGGTTGTGGGCGTTGTCGTAAAGAGGCAAATCACTTTCCCACACTACAAGTTTGTCATCATTTTTTTTACTGACCGATGGAGGCTCAGGCAACACCCAGGTCAGCTCAGGCGCTGTCAGACACCTTTTCTCCCGAAGTATTCCCCTCATGGCTGTTCCTGATTCCCAGTTCCTTCTTCCCCAGAGGCAGAATGCAGGTCTCTACAGTCCTATGATTCATTCACGGGCGGGCAGAAGGACAGGCAACAACAGGCAGTCGCTACAAGACAAGCAGGTGACACTGGGGTGTGGCTGCCGATGTGCACCTAGAATCACAGACTTGATAGATGTGTATTTATTGTTTGTGCCTCTCAGGCACCAGCCTCCATCTTGGTTGAAGGCCTGTTCCATCTTGCCGTCGGATACCCGACCCTTTCAAATGAAAATATCTGGGATCAAACCCACAACAGCTAACATTAGGGCATTTGGGAGGTCCTAGGGCCAGAGGAACCCTGACAGCACCTAACCACAGCACCTGAAGCTGGTGGGATTTGGAGTACGGCCAAAATCCATTATCCTTGACGAACGGCTTGAGAGCCTTTGAAGCCCATTCCAGTCAATTATCTGAGCTTTGTAAAGCAGACCAGTATTAGCATCGTGATTCTGATGAGGGAGGAACGGAGGCTGAAATAGGAGACACTCATTTTCAGCCAGGAACTTCCTAAGTTGCCGCTCCGGTCTCTCCGGTGCTCCGCCCTGCCAGCTCTCGATCTAATGGAATGTTTTCCACTTGTGTGCAATTGATTGTTAGCTGAGCCCAAAGCTTTTGAGATGGAGCAGGCCTGACACATTTAAGCCAATCAATGGCGTCTCTCTCCTACAAAATGCAAGCATGAGCATGTTGGTTGGCCTGGCAGCCCAGACCCACTGTCACGCCCGATCAGACCCATGGTCCATCTAGCTCAGCAGTTTCTCTGCCAGCTGCAGCTGGTGGGATGGACCGGGCAGGACTGGAAGCAGAACTGGACAGAGCGCAGCACCAAGAGGGAGGAACAGCAGAAGGGAGAGGATCCTTCACAGCCGTTGTTAAAGTCATCATCAGCATCTGCTAAACAGAAGCATAACTTGTCCAAAAAGAAAACAGCTGCACTCTGTCCCCTGCGTATTTAATGCAGAGTTTGAGAGAGTTGCTTTTTCCGACTACGCTTCCCAGAATCTCCAGATCAGTTATGCTGACTACAGGTTCGGACATCATGGTTCAAAAAAGAACATTGATGAGCTTGAGCTAAACCTGCAAATCTTGGGCCTGAATTCTGTTTGAGGTCCTCCCAAAGTGATCTTTCCCTAGTTTCCTCCACAGGCTTGTTAGGGGCACCCCCTTTTCTTTATTTAAAACAGTGGTCCCCAACCTTTTTGGGGCCGCGGGCCGACTGGGGGGAGCAAGCTCCCTGCACGGGGGGTGGGGGTATGTCACGCCCGTGCAATGGGCATGTTGTGCTCACAGGGGGTGCCTCCCCATGCAAGCGTGACACACCCACCACGTGTGCGGGGGCCCCCAGAGATCCGGTATCCGTGGCCCAGTTCCGGCAAGCCCATGGACCGGCATGGGGCCGTGGACCGGGGGTTGACGACCCCTGATTTAAAACACTTTTAGCCTTCTTTCCATGCCTCCTAGTGGCCAGCATAGTTGTGTTTTTTAGTACAAGGAGGAGGCATAAACGGGCAGAATTGAAGAAGAACATGGACCAAATAAGTCATGGTGCAACCCAAGTTTAAAAGTACCGTTGAAAAAACAGCAACCACAAAGCATCCATGACTGAATAAATTCGTTTGCTCATTTCTGAAAATGGCTCTTGGGGATGTGGTTCCCCCTAAGGACTGGGCGGAGGGGACAACAGAGGACGAGATGGCTGGACAGGGTCATCGAAGCGACCAACATGAATTTGACCCAACTCTGGGAGGCAGTGGAAGACAGGAGGGCCTGGTGTGCTCTGGTCCATGGGGTCACGAAGAGCCGGATACGACTTAACGACTAAACAACAACTAGCCCAAGGCTGATCTCAAGTGCCTTAAAAGATACCCATCATTCCCAGGGAGCGACAGCCGACGCATTGAACACCTGGTGAAGGGTTCCCCACTCAGTTAAGACGGAGGGAAAATCTGTTTACATTCTTAAAAAATCGCTTTTCATTCTCCATTTGTAAACATAAAGCAGCGCACCAGGAGTTTCAGCCCCCTGTCCCCCTTTCTCATTCTTTTTTGGGGTGGGGGGGAAGGTGACAGGTAGGATCTGCCCCTTGACTCAGATCGGCTACCTACCCGCTTGTCAGCCTCCCAGGTGTCGATGACCATCAACGTCATTTCCTCGCCATCCACGGACAGGGTCCGTTCGTAGGTGTCCTCTGGAAAAAAAAAAGGCCAGACAGGGAGTTGGGATCCGTTATCTACGAGGGCATCCTTTTCCCACCGGCTGCACCTGTGCTGTGCACCAGACCATTTCCTTATTGGCAGCTGGGGACGATGGGAGTCATAGTCCAGCAAAACGGATGGGCCTGGGCTGGGGGAAGGCTTCGTAAAGCGACACTTTGCAAAACGGGAGCCGTTCCGTCCCCCTGATATTCAGGGGAGGGGGACGTGGGGGGGCACACTTCCCTTTTTTTCATGTCCATCATCAAAGCATGGGAAGTGGGGCCTAAACAGCTCGGCTCCCTTCCTGCCATTTAGTCCCCTCGGAAGGTATTTGACTCACATTTCAGTCTAAATATATTTTAGTTTTGTTGTGGTGTCAATGTTCTGGTTCTGTCATTTATGGACTTATATCCAAAACTTCTGTGCCACTTTTCTGTTTTTTATAAAAGAAAACTCCCAACACTGTTGACGATAAAAGCAAATAGGATAAAGGCGGTCTCTAGCATGCAGAAAATCATAGAATAAAAACAATCATTTCTACTTTAAAAACAGTTCAATAACTGTATTGAATCACGGAGCGGGCAAAGGGCCCTGAGGCCCATTGAGTCCAATCACACACACACACACACCCCCCGCCAGAAGCAGGAAATCCACAGCTAAAACGTGCGGCTGGCTGTGTTACCGTTCGCACAATGCTCAGGAAAATGTCTGAATGGGAAAGCTGGACAGCAAAGAAAGCTGGAAAGCCTGACGGGGAATCAGGAGGAGGTTTCCTCCAGCTCAAGCAGAGCGATCCACACAGGAATCCCCCCTGCAGTTGCCTTGATGGTTCTAAAGCAGTGGGTCGTTCCCCGGATATTCTTGGATTGCAACTCCCAGGAATCCTGGCAGGTAGAGCTCGTGGGAGTTGCAGTCCAAGAACATCTGGGAACCGCAAGTCTAAATGCTGCCGCTGCCACCACCCTCTCTCACCAGGCGCAAAGGGGCCCCTTCCTTTCCTTTAGATATGAATCCGGTCTTGCGAACCTTTCGTGCCTGCGGAGGTCCTATGAAGCAAGGACAGTAACGTGGCCCCTTGGGAGCCGGCTTTGCCCGTTGTTGTCCTTCGGCAGGGGGCCCTCCACCGAGCGTTCCCCACCCAGCAATCTGAAATCCAGGACCCACTGCCACCTTTCCCCTGCTGTAGTTCGCCTGCGGCTTTTCTGGAGCCACAGAATCCTCCGTCCTGAATCCAAGCAGCAGCTCCAACTAGAGAAAGCCCAGTCGGAATCCAGAGGATCGATGTGTGCCTTGACTGAAAGAACTGGGCAGGTTTAGCCTGGGGGGGGAGACTGGGGGAGGGAGACAGGACAGCACTTTTCAAAGACTTGAAAAGTAGTCCTGTAGAGGAGGGGCAGGATCTCTTCTCCATCATCCCCAAGTGCAGGACATGTCATAATGGGCTCTAGCTTAAAGGAAGCAAGATCCAGCCTGAATACAGTGGATCCTCGACTTACGGAATTAATCCGTATTGGAACTGTGGCTGCAGGTTGAAAATTCTGTAAGTCGAGGATCCATTTCCCATAGGAATGCATTGAAAACCCATTAATCAGTAACTGGCCGGAGAAAAAAATCCAGGGCTTCCAAAGCTGCACCCGCTGCCGTCTGCCTTCTGTCCCCACTGTCCTCTGCCTCACATCCCCGCGGGGACAGGAGGCAGAGGGCACCGGGGACAGGAGACAAGAGGCCAGTGGGTCCAGCTTTCTAAGCCCTGAAAACCTGAGACTGGGTGCAGAGCGGCTTTCAGCTTTCTTGCCTCCCCTCACTCGCAGCTTTGGAAGCCGAAAGCCGCCCTGCACCCGCTATCAACGTTGGGCTTTCGGGGCTTAGACCTGCAGCCTATGGACTGGAAGTGGGAGGCAGGGAAAGTGCCCAATTTGAATTTGGCGCTTTCCCCACCTCACCCTTCTGCTTCGATTCTCCGGCCGCAAATCGAAGTGAAACTTTGCGGCCGGAGAAGTCTGTAAGTCGAAAAGTTCGTAAGTGGAGCCGAATGTAAGTCGAGACTCCACTGTGTCAGGAAAAAACTTCTTAACTGTTAGAGCAGTACGACAGTGGAACCCATGATCTCAGAAGATGGTAAGCGCTCCAATGTGGGAGGCATTAGAGAGACAATTGGACAGCCCTCTGTCTGATCTGCGTTATTATTTTATTTTATTTGGCTTTTACCCCACCCATCTAGATTCTAAATGAATCTACTCTGGGCAGCTTACAGTCCGAGCAACGTAATGTGATTTGGATTCCTGCCTCGGGCAAGGGGTTGGACTCAAAGAGCCAAAGGATTCAGTAGATCTGCTCTGACCGGGACTCATAACGGGATGGAGGCCACAAATTATTTCCGCTTAATCCGTCCTCGCCCTTCCCAAAATGTTAGAGAACTTTGGGAAGGAGGAGGCCTGCTTTAGCTAGATGATCCTGGGAGTTCGTGTCAATTTAAAAACCCGTCCTGGGCTCTGGGATGCAAAGCACAAAACATCCGCAGTCCACGTTCTGGATCCTTTGCCCACAAAAACCTGAGCTTTGCAATCTGTTCAGGTGGGCCTGGTTATTCAGCATGACCAGGGGAAGCCTCTGCTGATCCGTATCGCCCTGGGTGCAACGGGGCGCTAAGGCCCCAGCTGCTGTTCCTTCCCTCCTTCGCGCTTCCCGAAATCCCAGGCAGGCTCACCTCTCGGTTGGTCGGACGAGTCTTTATCCTGCACCCCCGCGAAAAGGCTCACCAGGCTGGTCTTGCCCACGCCGGGGTCGCCCAGAAGCACCACCCGGTACAAGGATTCCCAGGCCTCTTCCGAATCGGAGGACTCCGGCGACCAGCTCCCACGCGGCGCAGGGAGGCGACTCGGGGGTGGCTCGCAGGACGAGGAGTGCCCCAGCTGCGGGTGGCAGGACCCGGCCCGGTTGGGGCGAACGCTCGGCATCCGCGGGCGAGACCCGTAAGGGGCAGGGAGCGGCGTGCTGGCCCTCCTCTGGCCAGGACTCAGGTTGCCACCGGTGGTGCCCCGGCCGCTGCCTCCTCGCTGGGTGTTGAGAGTCATCTTGTGCCAAAGGAAGAGCAGAGAGAGGGAGAGTCCCAGAAATAGCTCCTCTTTTCCAGGGAACGCGCGGCAGCTGGCCAGCTTCGGGACGGCCCAAGCCGCAAGCGGTGGGGAAGAGAAAAAACTCCTCTTAGCGGCTCGACTCCTCTTTTGTCTCGGCTGCAAAGAAGCCCAAAGCAAATACATTACAGTCTATCTGGGGAATCCTCCTTCAACTTGTTACATCTAAGGAACTTTTAAAAGCATGTGTGTGCGTGTGTGTGTGAATTTCCAAACCAGCTGTGCAAAGCTTATCGGGCAGACTGGCAGCCACAGGTAACTGGAGTCTTTACTGGTCCTTGGGCTTAACAGCGTTTTCTGGGCTATTTCGGAGGCAGAGACCGCACTCAAAAATAAAAATAAAAGACAGATTATAAATAAACTCAGTGTCAGCAGATCAAGGACCAGACTCAGGTTTGTATTCCCTTTCTGTACTGTGAAGGTGAGCAGAAGGAAAGCAGAACAGCCAAAATGTTGAGACCTAACAGTTTTAAACTTTTTCTTTAAAAGAAGCAGCAACCATGAGATTTCTCCCCCCCCCCCCCCGCCACTTAAGACTTGAGCTGCATAGGAAGGAACCGCAAACTCATTACTTCAGTGGTGGTTCTGGTTCCAGCATTAAATTCAATGTGTGCTCAGAGCACATCCAGCATCCTCCCACATTATTTAACACGGTCCTTTAATTCTAAGCACTTGCCTGTAAATGCAATTGGCTGGTGAAGAATGTTTTCAATTTGTCATGTAAATAATGCTCTGAATATTTCTAATAGGTCTTTGTAGATGACTTCGTAGAGACCAAATTGCTAACATGCGCTGGATTATGGAGAAAGCCAGAGAGTTCCAGAAAAACATCTACTTCTGCTTCATTGACTATGCAAAAGCCTTTGACTGTGTGGACCACAGCAAACTATGGC